ACTAAAATGCTTTTTCCTGTCTGCATCATTTGCTCATACTAAACCTTTTACACCTTTCAGCATAGTTATAGTAACTTGCCTGAAATGAAATGATTATGTTTTATAGCAACAATTTTTTTTTAATTAAAAAGTACGCTGTTGTGTTTTCCTTATATATCAAGAGTAGATTTATGCAGATTTGTAAAGTTATTTATACGTTTACTTTAACATGAATTTCATACACAATAAACCAGGGGTAATGAAATAAAATTTATGGAGGTCCAATCAGTAAGATTTTCTTCCAGCGGAGGTCCGAATCGCATGTTTGTGCGAAGACTCAGATCCTTCCCATCACAGCCGCACTTATGTCACAATCTTGTTCTTACATCAGTGTCCTCAGTCCCCTGCACATCACATCACAGTTTTTACTTTGGACAGAGGGCAGGAGCAGGAGCTGCAAGAGGTAACTTTCCAGATTACCCAGCAGGTGATTGGTTGCTAGTACACAGAGCGGACCTAGCAACCAATCACTTGCTGATTAATATGAAAAGTTAACTGCTGCCAGCTCTTGCTCCCATCCTCCATCCAAGGCTGAGCTGTACTTCCCGGCTCAGTTCATTACTATCCTGCCTCCCGCTCACCATGCTGTCTTGAGAATGCCTGGAGGCTGAGCGATAGGAGCGGATCTTAAATGGGGCGACTGCGGGTCCGGATAGGACAGTGGCTCGGTCGGGGGTTTGGACCTCGGTCTGCCATTTAGTGATGCTTGCAATAAAATTATGGGCAGTACAGTGGCTAAATGGTTAGCACTTCCGCCTGGCAGTACTAGGGTTCAAATCCCAGCCACAGCACCTCCTGCCTGGAGTTTGCATGTTCTCCGTGTGCCTGCCTGGGTTTCTTACGGGTACTCTGATTTCCTCCCACACTCCAAAGACATGCTGGTTTGTTAATTGGATCCTGTCTAAATTGGCCCTTGCATATGAATGTGAGTTAGGGACCTTAGATTGTACACCCCTTGAGGGTTAGGGACTGATGTGAATGTACGATATATATGTAAAGTGCTGCGTAAATTGATGGCGCTATATAAGTACCTGAAATAAATAACCGAAGACACACATACCGTATATACTCGAGTATAAGCCGAGTTTTTCAGCACATTTTTTGTGCTGAAAAACGGCCCCCTCGGCTTATACTCGAGTCAACGTCTGCAAGGGGGGCGCGAGGCTCCGTACAGGGATGGGCAGAGGGCTGCTGTCTCTTACCTGGCTCCCACGATGATCCATCCAGGAAGCGCTGCTCCTTCCGTCACTCTGGCCACTCCCTCACTCCTGCCGCTCGGCTCCGTCTCCTCACCGGTGATTAGCCGCCAGAACTGTAGCTCAGGAAAGGTACACAGGCAGCCAATCACGGGCGAGGAGGCGGAGCCGAGCGGACCTGTGAAAATCGAGTAAGGGAAAAGCCGGTAAGTGTGCAGTGCAGAGGTGCTGCTGCAACCACATATGCTGGCTGCAGCAGCACCATACTGCAACAGGGGTCAGCAAGTGTCATTGGTGTCAGTGGGAGGAATAGTGCCGCATCATTGGTGTCACTGATACTAATGATGGGGCATTATTCCTCCCACTGACACCAACGATGGGGCACTATTCCTCCCACTGACACCAATGATGGGGCACTATTCCTCCCACTGACACCAACGATGGGGGGCACTATTCCTCCCACTGACACCAATGATGGGGCACTATTCCTCCCACTGATACTAATGATGGGGCATTATTCCTCCCACTGACACCAATGATGGGGCACTATTCCTCCCAGTGATACCAATGATGGGGCACTATTCCTCCCACTGACACCAATGATGGGGCACTATTCCTCCCACTGACACCAATGATGGGGCACTATTCCTCCCACTGATACCAATGATGGGGCACTATTCCTCCCACTGACACCAATGATGCGGCACTATTCTTCCCACTGATACCAATGATGGGGCACTATTCCTCCCACTGACACCAATGATGGGGCACTATTCCTCCCACTGACACCAATGATGGGGCACTATTCCTCCCACTGATAATAATGATGGGGCTTATACTCGAGTCAATAGTTTTTCCCAGTTTTTTGTGGTAAAATTAGGTACCTCGGCTTATATTCGGGTCGGCTTATACTCGAGTATATACGGTACTTGTTTCTGAGCATTTTTTTTTATTAAAGCAGTGTTTGGGTGTGTGTATGGGGGGACAGGCATGCACTGCATGGTGTGTGAGAGCAGCAGTTTGACTTTCCTGTGTGTACCCAACAGAGTATTTCAATCCTTGTTGCAGCATTTAGGAATTTAAAACAAGTAAAAGAAACAGCAAATTGAGGACTGTATATGCAGCCTGCATGGATTACAGTAATAAATCTCAAGAGTTAATTTGGCTTTAACAGCTTCCCGTCCGCCCTATAGCAGTAATACTCGGCCGGTGATTACTCGCCGGCACATGGTGATCGAGGAGGATTACCAACGGAGGGAGAGAACTGTAAGTAAACAATACAGTTCTCTCCTCTGTCAGCTTCTGTACACTGCTATGTATGGCTTTGAATAGCAGAGCCATGCATAGCAGTGTGCTTACAGTGAAGCACACACACACAACACACAGTAAAACAGCACACAGTTAACCCTTTAATCACCCCAGATTTTAACCCCTTCTTGCCCAGTGCCATTTGTACAGTGTCGGTGCTTTTTATTAGCACTGATTACTGTATTGGTGTCACTGGGGATGTCAGTGACACCAAGTCAATTCCCCCCAGTGTCAGAATGCCTGCTATAAGTCGATGATCGCTGCCATGACTAGTAAAAAAAAAAAAAATCCCAGTATATATACACCGCCATTTGTAAATGCTATAACTTTCACGTAAATCAATTAATTTACACGTATAGGGATTTTTTTTTTAGCAAAGACATGTAGCAGACAACATTTTGGCCTAAATTTATGATGAAATGTGATTTTTAAAATTTTTTTACTGGACATGTTTAATAGCAAAAAAGCTCTATTCGTGGGAAAAAAGGACATACATTTTATTTGGATGCAGCGTTGCATGACCGCGCAATTGTCAGTTAAAGTAACGCAGTGCCATAACACAAAAAATGGCCTGATCAGGAATGGGAGTAAATCCTCTGGAGGGCAAGTGGTTAATGTACAGGTAATCCAAATCACAAACAATCCCATATAAACTTCAATATATCAATGTTTAGAAGACTTTTCAATATTCCTATATTTGCAGCTAAATAATACCCGATGAACCTGCCATGAAGGTCCTTGCTCATGTACAACCTGTTATAGAATGAAGCACTCTGTCCCTGTCTCCCTATTGTGTTCTTGCATTGTCACATGTGCTTCCAAAGGAGACAGCTGTTCCAGCACTCTTAATACAGTCATTGACACCCTGCTGTCACCACTAGGTAACCTTCCCTGAGAAAGAACATGCTACCATTACTTAAGTGCATGCATGAAAGGAAATGTTGGCCAAAAAGGTTTCAGGATATCAGTTTCACGAAGATGAAACAAAGAATGGATAAAAGCTAGAAACAAGTATTTAATTAAAAATATTATTATTATTTTTTTATTATTATACAGGATTTATATAGCGCCAACAGTTTGCTCAGCGCTTTACTAATATAACGGGAGACAATACAGCAACAATACAGTTCAATACAAGAGGGATAGGAGGGCCCTGCTCCTTGGAGTTTACAATCTAGGAGTGAGGGGCTAGTGGTACAAAAAGGTAGTAACTGTGGGGGATGGACTTGTTGAAAGAGTAGAAGATTCCATTATTAGCTGAGGGCAGAATAGGCTTCCCTGAAGAGATAGGTTTTCAGAGATCGCCTAAAAGTGAGCAGAGTAGGCGATAGTCTGATAAGTTGGGGTACAGAGTTCCAGAGGATGGGGGAAGCTCTGGAGAAGTCCTGGAGACGAGCATGGGAGGAGGAGACAAGGGAGCTAGAGAGTAGGAGGTCTTGCGAGGAGCAGATAGTACGGTTTGGGTGTGATATTTAGAGACAAGATCGGTGATGTAATTTGGGGCAGAATTATAAATGGCTTTATACGTTATTGTTAATGTTTTGAATTTTATCCGTTGGGCAATGGGAAGCCAAAAATATTGTACTTGTTTATGATTTATAGCCAGTTAACAAATGGTGGAATGCCATTCAATTAGGGTCTATATCTACTTTAAGGTAAGAAACTATTTTTACATTCACACTGTTGATAAAGCATTATAATGCTAGCCCCTCAGTTCTGACTATTATTACAGCAAGATATGTTACGTATGACATGTGGGACAAATAACAGTTTCTATCAGCTTAGATACATTTTAAAAATGTCTTCTTGCTCAAATACAACATTCTCAATTTCAGACTACATGTTCTGCACAATGTCTTCGAAAATATGTCAGTGGAACATTTCTGGAATATCCTTATAACAAAGTAACACGACGTATTTCACAATATATATTCTCAGCCTGCTGCTCTAAAAGGATGTGTGCTTTTTTATTTTGCTGCCTTATTTGGGAGGATTGGGTTATTAAAAGCACACCATTTTGCAACCTGTTACAGTCTCAGAAATATTCTAAGAAATGTCCTTGCATTTGAAACATAACTCAAATTCCACGTACTTTACTTCAAAATTTTATATGTATGTTCAATGTGCTACTTCTACAAAACAGTTTAAAGTTAAAATAAACTCCTATAATGCAACTGACTACAACAAAATATCATTTCCCAGCACTCAGCCAAGTACATGTTTTTGCAAGCATAAGTTAACGTTTAACGGGAGGTCTCCAGTTCCAAAAGTGGATCATAGCTTTAAAAAGCACAACGAGATTCCACAGCTGCTGTTATTTTAAATATTAGGAATATATATCAATCATGTAACTCTAGGTCTTGTGATGAGGATAATGCAGTGGTGAACAGGACAAGGGAACTAGTTTAGGAGTAAAAAAGGAGGATTCTTCAGAAGAACAGTGGTGTTAAAGTGTTACTAACCCCACAACAGTAAAATCAGTCTGTATATGCAGTAAAGCATGCTTGTTATACTCACTGTGGAACCTAAGGGGTTAATCCTCTGCATTGTGTGAAAAAAGGCAGTTTGATTCTGACTTCTTTGCTCCTCCTCTTGTTTAAATGTTTACATCTTATCTCCTGATAAAACAGACTGAACCATAGCCACACATGCTAAGTTTAGTGTGTATTGCTAGAAAGGTTTTTTTTTATTGGGAGAGTGCATGTGATCAGCACAGGGCCAATCAGCATTGTCCAGACAGAGGTCAGGTGTTTTGCATCCTCCTAGAGTAGAAAGTAAACTCCTCCTACAAGCTTTAACCAGGGCTTGCTGAATAGAAGTCACAAGACTGCTCTAACTGCTGAAGAGAAAAGGTATTTATCAGTTTATATTTACTAAAATAATTGCACTTCCATGTTGTGTGTAATGTGGGAGACCCAGATATAGTGAATGCAGAGTCCTGGGTTTAGTATCACTTTAAAATCCCAGTACGGTATTACAAAACTATGCAGTTACATGGAGTCAAAGGTACTACCTAAATTGCCAAAAAAACCCAGAAATACATACCTAATAATTTCACTGTTTCCTAACTATAGACTCATCTGAACAGGATGCTGGTGTTAGTCACTTACATGCAAATTAGTTGATTCATGATTCTCTGTGAAACTAGAGGGGTGTGCTTAGTTCTAATAATTCTGGGTTGCCACTATTCTAGCAGGTGGCCCTTGTGCTTTATGATTGCAGAGCTGATGAAGTAGTGTGCTCCCGGCACATGTCGCAGTGTATCCAGGTGCACTCAACCAATGAAACCTGGAGCAGCAGGTATAGCCAGGAACTTTACATGCTTGTCCAAGTTCATTGCTTGTGAATTTGCAGTGAAGCTGGTTACACTGCCAAAAATGTATAGGCAAAGCTCTGAAGCCAGACTAGTACCTGTCCTCTTTACAGAATTCATTTCACTGTGCAGATGTCTAATTATTGTCCAAGTCTTGCTGACTTCAACTCTGTATCACTTCCAGAATACAACCCTTTCTAGGCTCCTTTGACATCAGTTTGACCCATTTTCTGCAGGTAGGGCAGCCCATTCATTTCTAATTCAGAATGCTACCAACAAAGCCATCCATAACTCTGACCTGAGGTACACCAACCTTTTGTCAAAATATCACCCAAACCATCATGACTCCCAAGACACCCTGCTCTGTGGCTCCCTCACCACCTCCTCCCATGCCCATGTCAACGATGTCTCTAGAACCTTACACATCCTCTGGAAGGCCCTACTCCAATTTTTCTGGCTATCTCTGTCACGATCGCGGTGTCAGACACCAGACCTTCTCACCAAACTCGTGACCGAAGGACTAGCCAATCTAAAACTGTAATGTCACGTCCGTAACAATGCCACACCCAGCTGCACCCTGCACAATGATTTTCCAGCTAATTGGACCACAATCGATGTACCGGCAGCCTGAGCGATTGTTACTGGGTCAGGTTAATTACGCAATTAACCCTTCACACTGCCACTACCTCCTTTTTGTACAGAAAAAGAGGAAACTCGGCAATCTCAACAATAACACTATAATGGTTGAGGTAATTGTCTGCATAACACGGTTATACAGAGGGTTAAACAAACACAGTAGCGTTCTTTTTAGAGGCAGGAATTCGTAAATTGCAATAAAGCGCTCTAGAAACAGTTCAACACTTTCAGAAGGAAAGATTTATTACTAAAAGGTCAAACGGGTGCAGTAAAAATATTTACAGAAAAGAGGTAACTAAGATATATATATAAATATACAGAGACCAACAGCACAGCAAAGAGATATCAGAGAGAGGTGAAAGGGTTAAGGTACTTGCCAAAGTCCTGGGTTAGCAGATCCAAGTTTCAGAGCAAAAGGGCACGGGTCTCCCTAGGTGGTACTGATGTTAAAATGGGAGACGTCTTCAACTCTGACTCTTAGGCCCATTTTGTAGCCCCCAGCAGGGGGTGTCTCTGAAGTCAAGGACCAATACCCCGCTTAGGGCGTGGAGGTATGGGTAGATACCTCAACTAGAGCCAAAATCTCCCGTAACTCATATTTTGGCCCATAACTTTCCAGCTGCACAAGTGACATTCCACCCGCGGGTAGATTATTATGCAGACACGTTTGAGGATTGATTAGATATGAATTATGAAATTATACACTGTACGGTTCACAAGATCTACTTTTCTGTTTTCCTATGTATCGGAGACAATGCGAGTGACCTATCAAACTGTTCGCCTTCTCGTGGCCAATCTGACAATAGGTCTGGTTTTTATGTAAGTCTCTCATATTCCAAGATATGAGACATAGGGGAGAAATGGATTTTGAAAAGTGTTTATCTGATTCTGTCACCTACGCTGAGTCAGGTCAGGTTTATTAGGTTGGAATCTCTTTCAACTCCTGGGAAAGCTTGCCTTATCTCTTACGAGGTGTTACAATTTGCAGGTTCTTTGGACAGGGAGGCGTCGGCTCCCTTGGGGGGCTTTATAGCTCCTATGACCCTCCTGTGACATTCCCAACTCACACACATGCTGGCCAAATGTCGCTGGGCCTCTCTAAGGAGGGAGGGGGGAAGAATGAGGGAGAAATATATTTGTCAGGATGGTTAATCCCTTTGCCAAGATGGAGGTTGAAGCCAAAATGGTTGAATTGCGTCCATCTCTGTGTATACGCTGTTACAATCTCCTACTCTGTTTATCTCTAGGCAGTCCCTGAAAACTCATTTCTTTAGGGAAGATTTATTCATCCTTTCAGGGAAGATAGAGGCTCCATTAACTCCCCCCCCCCACAGTTTTCTTTTTTGGAATGTATTCATAAATAAATCGCTTCATAGGTTTTCCTTTGCTTGCTCTGCATGGGCAACATGACACTTATTCTCTGCATGGCTTATTTCAATGCAATTTAGAGGTGCAGAAATGCCTAAAAGACAACCCAAAAATCCAAGGTCCAAGATGACTAGGACAGTCTGCAGTAACTTTAACATTCCTATGTCACTAAAATTGTCTTCCTATTCTGTGGAAAAACAATGGATATAGGGGTATAGCATTCACCATCCACATGTTTTCACATCCTGTATGGATAAGTAGTCAGTGAATACACTGTGCACTGTGCAGCAAAATAAAAGATTTGTATGTCTCTGAGTACAGCCAATAGCAACTAATAAAGGACATGTACTGAAACATTTTGAAGACAGAAGTTTATTAATAGGTCCAACTATGGCACAGACAGTGTAAACCACATCATCTGAATATTGGAGAAAACTTTAACATTTCAGAAAATCTGTATTTTGAGAATAAAATGAAATTAAATAAAATGATCCATGAAATGACTTCCTCTGGTTCCTCTGCTTTTGTCTCTGGCCAAAGCAGAAGGAATAGCACAAAATGAAACATACTTATTGGATTTGAATTGTTTTTCTTGTTTCAGCACCATGCAAAGGCATGAGCAGCAAATGTAAAGTCATAAGCAGCATCTGTTGATCTTCAGAGAATTCTGCCACTTCCCCTTGGATATGAAGGAACCTGAGCTGGCCACTTCGTCATCAAGTTCCTTTACTGACAATTGCACTGTCTGAAAGTATGATTAGCTTGGCACTCTCATAATGAAAAGAAATATCTGATAATAATGAACAGATTCACCACTACTACCATTACCTGTGAAGTCTTCCACCTACCCACCACAACTGTTGGCTATATGCCATGTATGTACATTTTTTTACATATATAAAAACAGTAGGACCCTACCCAAGTTTTGTTCTACAATATTTTACCTAGACACCTTTTTTAGAATTGTGTTATGGTTAAAGCAGGGTGGTTTGCATAGGAACTTCGAGAGTTTCATTTTTTCTGCTTTTCCAAAAGACAGAAATGACACTTTAGCACTAAGAGTACTTCAAATGGGAAAATTAATAACTTGTAGTAGGTGCTCATGCCACATTGTCGATAATTAATTATTTCTAGTCTATTAGAGGCATTATCGTTTTAGATTGGTACTTTGGTTGTAAAGCTGTAGTTTTGGTACTTTTTGGTATTCAGTTATTGCATATGTAAATGTACTTTAAAATGTATTAATAGCATTAAAAGGTTTATTTTTAATAAATCCTAATTTAGTAAACATTTTGAAGCTAATAATAAAGCATTCTGTGGATGGCCAAGACGTCTTTGTAACTGATGGTCTTGATTACTGTATAAATACTATGTAATGTTGGCAAGTACATGCAACATAAATCAAGATCTTCAATTATAAACACATGTATACCATTGTATCGGAAACCATTATGTATTCAGCTCATTTGTTCACTCTGAAGTTGCAAGACAAGAATGGAAACTGATATTTGGACATCACTGGTAATCCATCTGCTGAAAGGTCATTGGTGCATGGACAATTGTAAGGCCAATTCTAGATAGTAAAGGCCAGATAGTTTCAAATGTCAGATATCTGTTCAGCTATCTTACAGAAGTTTGGAAGATAAACAGAACCACAAGGTCAAATTACAGGACATAAACCAAATAAATGGCAGAAAATAAAAGTATGAGACAAAAAAGAAACTTGCACAGAACTATGTGTGTTTTACAGCAATGTCACCTTTCACATCCCCTTTAGTGTTTTTAGCTATCACTTTCTGTCTGAGCAGAACATTTTCTCAGTTCCATTTTTCTAGAGACAAGATTTTTTTTTATGGCACCATTCAGGATTTTCCCATAACAGCTGTTATTCTCCTCTGACACTGTCAATTCAGAACATTTCACTTGGAATTGATTTACGAGTATTGCAATCTTCCTCCATACTATTAGGTAGACACAGAGAAATAGAGCTGCTTTAGCTGCAGAATCCACTTAAAATCATGTATTTTCAGTGCAGTTCAGTAGATATGCATTGCATGTTTTAATATGTAAAAGTTATGTAGAGGTATCAAAATTGAAGACAGTAAAAAGTGTTATTCAAGGGTCAGCTAGGTAGGTCACAAAGGTTTAAACCGTATAACAATTATTTATTTTGATCATTATGGTGAGATATCTATGCTTAAATTTTCAGGTCTCCACACTCCTATAGACTGACGATTTAATTTTTAAAAATAACAGTTTGGACCTAGCTACTGTTCACAGGTGATATTTCTGTGATGTGAATGATTGGAGTCTTTAAAGTTGAACTCCAGTATAAGCAAATACAGTACTGTCTAAATATAAGATACATCAGTATTATTTCTTGACTTTCGGTGTAAATTTTTGTGTATTTTCCAGTTCTGTGCAGTCATTTTGTGTAAAACAAAGTCTCTGTAC